TCTCTCTCTCTCTCTCTCTCTCTCTCTCTCTCTCTCTCTCCCTCTCTCTCTCTCGTAGTAACCCTTCCTTTTCTTCTTCTCTCCCTATGAAAGTTTTACAAGAGCGACACGTTTGGGCTGAAGGCGCTGGAGGACCGTGGCGACGTGGCGGTGTGCGTTCACTCCGGAGTGAAGCACGTTCAATGGCACTCGAACTACACCGTGTTCACGAGCTGCATAGAGAAGTGGCTGACATGAAAACAAACGAGTGTAAGAGATGTCAATGCAAACTATCATTCAACTGAAATAGACACATTTTATTTATTTTTACTTTTAAACAAGACAGCAACCATACAAACCAAAATCCTATTACAAATAGCAACATAGTTTTCCACAAGCTTCTTCCCTTTATGAAGGTTAGACAGATATATTAGACAAGATTAAGATTTCCATATCATAATATTGTGGGTTTCCTTGATAGATTATAGTGGATTCTTTCCTTATGATGCATTCTAATGAGTTCATTTAACCAATGTTTAAATGTTGGGAGTGCAGATATATTTCACATATTCCTTTCTCCAGTAAATATGCCAAATTATGACTAAAAGGCAGAATTACAGGGTCCATTTGTCCAATGAGAATTTGTTAGGTATTCAGATGTAACTAAAACAAATTAGCTAAAGAAAAATTGGCATAAATGTTTATCCACAGATCTCTTTTTGTGTTCAGACTCTGTGGTCTTGCATTTTTAGTCCTTTCCCATCATCCTCAGATGGTCCTTAATATTGCAAGGGACAGTCTGAAGTGACCCAATGAGCCACACCTTGTGGCCATACATGAGCGTTGACTGATCAATCACTTCCCTCTGGTGGAAGTCTATGGTACTCTGAAGTGTGAAGGAAAACTGAGCTGTCCTCCACTTTAGATTGAAACTTTTAGGCAGGATGGAGAGTTGTTGAGTGATGTTTCTGATGTCACTTGGTATTAATTGATCCTTTAAGAATATCTGAAATCTTGGGTTTTATATCTGCATTAAAGTCTTTTATCGGAACACCAATCGCTAAATTATTTGTCTATTTTCTTTATTTTATGAAACTTTAGCCCTCACCATACAACTTATTGTCTTATTTTTACCTTTTCCTTTCAAAAAATTAAATATTTCCCAAAGGCATTGTCAGAAATTTGTGATTAGCTTTTTTGCGGTTCTCGCGTCTGAGATATGTTGTAACAAATCACACTTTATAACCAGCAAACAATCCACAGGAATACAAACCCACTTTCATTGTAATGCACATAATTCCCTTATCAAACTTCACATTTTGAATTGATGATGACATTGCCAAAGGTGCTGTTTCAACTCTTTTGACATTGTAGTATGCGATGTTGTTGTTGCATTGGACTGCAGTCTATTGTAAAGCTGCTGCACCTTCATTTAAGTACAATAACACAAATTAGCACATTTAAATATAGATACTGCAATCATGAAGTGCACCTCAAAACTGACCGCAGGATTGAGTTCAAACAGAAACAACTAAATAAAAACTGGACATTTTAAATGATATGTAGTTTTTGTTATTGTCTGTCCCTGTTTCAGATTTATTTGAACACTTTCAGATTGATCTGTAATGATCCGGTTTCATTGTTGAAAGTTAAAGTGTTTGTGCAGCATGTCCTGAAACAGGCACTGTAGATAATGCTCACTGGCTCTGACTGTAGACTGTATGCCTACATGTTGACTCGTTTGCCCTTTACACATGAACAGATGAAAGCAGCATATAGGGGGTGTGATCAATCAATTAAACAAATTGAATGTCCTAATTCATAGCGCTCGAGTTATGGATTGTGAGGTAATAGAAAAAAAGGGACTTTATCCAATTAATACATTCTATTTTAAAATATATACATATTTTATAGTTATGCAAATAAAAAGGATTTCTGTTTTTTGCTCCATTCCCCTTTCACCATAATTGATATGTGTTAGTCCTTGTCCATGTAATTATAGTCAGATCTATTGTCCTCTATTGAAGAAGCGGTATTATAAATCTATTTATTTACACATTCACACAGTCTGCAATTATTTTTTGCCAGGTGTCTTTCCTGCATTTGGTAGTTAGTTAAACTGTTACTTTCAGCCTGAATTATGTGTTTAAACTTCTTAGTATGTGTCTCAGATAGTTATAGTCTTATAGTCTTACTGTTTACCTCTTGGGTTTTAAAATGTTCCATGTTTGTGATTGGTCAATAAGCTGCAAGCACCGCCCCTTTACGTCAACGCGCTCACAGCCAGATTGATAATAAACAATGGGTTGATTGGTGATACAGGTCTCCCCCCCCCTACTGTGTCAACCCGCCTCCTCGCGCTCGCCGCGTGCTCGCGCTGCTCTAAACAGGTATGAGCCATGACGCCAGCAAGGTGACACCCTCCTCTCTTCCTGTGCTCCTCCGGTGTGGTGCAACGCGGCTCCGGCTCAGCTCCCGGTGGAGATTTTTAAGTAAGAAACTTTACCTCAGCCTTCAATCTTTATTTCATGTGTGACTTTAAGCGCTTCACTTATTATGTATGAGACAACAGGGAAGATTTCTCCCTCGCGTGTCGGACTTTAATTAAACTTTAGTCAGCTGCAGGAAGCCCGGAAGACTCGAACGTAAGACCTTACGTGAAAGCTTATATATTGTGTGTTTGTGAAGTGAAGACTGCTCTGAAGGCTCACGGTTATTATGTTCCTGCTGCTCCACTTTGACACGCGCACGTTACTTTCACATGGAATCGCTGCACTTCAGTCGTTTAAAATAGCACCAGATCCACTGTAGTTCAACTGTTTTCCACTGGACGATGAAGGGTTGTCCCTTTTTGGAAACGTTGCATGCTGTTTGCAGTTCCCGGAAAAAGAGAAAAAAAGCTTTTAATTGTTGTGTTCGAGCAGTCAAAGCTCGCAGTTTATAGCGTGTATGTGTTTTAATTCATGGTTTCCTGTACGCAAACAACCTCCCACACATTTTAAAGTTAAATCTATGGTGTGATTTAGTCTTAAATGGTTGAAGGATGTCTCATATATGCGTTATGAGTGGGGAAAGGTTCATGGAGACTCTGAACGTTACAGAGAGTTTCGTTCATCGACAGTCTGACTGAATTCACTGTCAGCGTGGCTCATGGTCGACGTGTCCAGCCCTGTGGGAAGCTACTGTAAACACCCAGCAGCTGTGAGCGGCTGTAAACCGGCCAAAACATCCACTCAGGGAAGAGATGAAAGTAAACCATTAATCAAAGCGACAAGGAGACGCTCAACATGTCACACTGGGATAAGATAGTTCAATCACACTTTATCTGACCTGTTTTAAATGTGAAGAGAGCTGGAGAAATATGTCTATTCAACTTTTTAAGAGCAAAAGGCACTGCCAGCTGTTATCCTGATTTAAATTAGGAAGCTTCTTTCTCTAGCTTCTCTCCTATAATGAATATGTGTAAATCCAGTGGTTCTCAACCCACCAGATCTATCTGCTGGGCCACGTTTATGACTGTTAGAGGTCCTTTTTTTTTTTCTTGTGAATTGCTGATAGTATTTGGAAACGAGACAATCATTTAAGACGGGTAAATAGACGTATACAGACATAATAAATCTCCGAGGAGCGATTGTTTTGTTTCAATATCAATTAATAAATCTAGCAGTTATTTTCTGGATTAATCGTCTGGTGTATCGAATGCCCATTACATGTTCCCATGCAAAAGCCAATGTGACATCTTAAAATATCTCTCCTTTTGATTGAAGATTGAAAACTTCTCCTCGGGTCCTTATTGTAAGTTTTATATCTAAGATTTGTGATTACTTTGATTTAAGAGGGATTTTCATTGGTTTAATTTGAATCATTTTGGAGACCTAAAGAGGTAAAAACTATATAGTATTAAACATAACAATCTTATGTGAAATACTGTTTCGTTTACAGCCAAGTTAGCGGCTCTGTGAGGCGCTCACATGTCATCTCACCTCTCAGGCTGGAAACCACGTCTGTAAATGCATCCCTTTTACTTTTGTTTTTTCTGCTTTTAATTCACAGAATTTCCAACAACAAGGTGAAAAGTATCAGCCCTCTCTGTCCACGATGTCCTCCAGAGGTAAACATGACCTGTGCCGAATGTGTGGCGGCACTCTCCAGGGAAACCAAAGGCGGTGGCTGTTTGGAGCCCAAAATAAGAATACTGATCAGGCTCAGACCCCGACAGGGTCTGTGAGAGGAGGAAGCCTGTCCCGGTCCTCGCAGAGCAGCCCCTGGGGTGAGTCTGGAGCAAGTAAAGAGGAAGTTCAAAATGAAGTAAAGAAATGTCTGAACTTTCTTTTACTCTTCACAGGCAGCACGTTGTCTCTGGGTTCCTCGGTGTCGCTCTCCCAGGTTTCCCTGAGCTCCCCGTCCAAAGGGATGGACCTGCTCTCGGTCTTGACTCACATACTGGGGCAGTCTATAACCCGAGGCAGCGGGCAGGCGGAGTTCGTGTGTGGCAAATGCGTGTGCGTCCTCGAGCGGGTGTTCAAGTTCGACTCGGTGATAGCCAGGGTGAGGGTGCTCTCGTCCGAGAGGCTTCAGAAGCTGACGCAGGAGAGGGACAAGATCCGACAGTGGGTGCGCCAAAACTACTACCAGAGACACCCGCGGGACGTCCAGAGCAGGGGCAGCACCAGCGAGGAGGACGGAGAGGCGGAGAAGGAGGGCTACAGGGAGATGCTCAAGGAGAATATGGCACTCTCGGAGTATGAGTGCTGGTCCGAGAAGTGGGACATGTGCCCGTATTTTATAAGAACGGGGAAAAGATGCAGGAAGGGCAAAGGATGTGAAGGCTGTGATTCTCTGCGGGTGTCCGACTCGAATTACGAGTCCGTTTGTGGGGTCCCTCGCCGTTTGCCTCTCCAATCATTCTCCCCGTTGGCGTTGTCGCGGGACAAATCCCAGAGCATGCCCCTCCACTGGCAGAGGGTGACATCCTGCAGCTCCATGCCTTCTTCCCTAGGGGGGTCCACCCTGTCCTTACAGGAGTCCTCCTGCACCGAGTCCTTTCAGTCTATGGACTCTCTTGATGGCAACGACCCGTTCGACCCGCCGGGTGTTCGGTCGACCAACTTTTTGCTGATGGAGCTGAGGGGCATTGAAGGAAAGCCGGTCGGTTCGCCATCGGGGAGTAGGATCCCAGTTCTGGACAGGAAGTACTCGGGGACAGTTGGAGGGACGGCGTTCCCCTCGGTGAACAGGGTGCTGCGCTTCGGGAGTGTGGAGAACGGAGGGGAGGAAATGAACGAAGAGGACGGGGATGTGCTGTCAGAGCTGAGGGACGAGTTCATGCCTCTTCATCGAGAGGTGAGTGTTTCTCCTTCCTGTCTGAGCTTGCCCTCGATTACTAACATGTACTATATACAAATGGAAGGACTCTGACCAGATGCTGTGTGTGTGTGTGTGCGCGCTGTAAATATTGACACAATTTGCTGCAACAGGTAATCCGGGAGCAACCGAGGTCAGTCCAGCAGTACGACAAGATCAGAGCGACACATTTCACCTGTGTTTTCACTAAATAGTACCACAACTAAATCATTTCAGAGCACTACTGGCAGGGTTCACCACGCTGTCCGGCACCTGCGAGGCCAGCTGGACCAGGCTGTGGCCCAAATCAGGACCCTGGAGGCTGAGCTGAAACATGGGAGGGCCCAACAAATCGAAATCAATGGATCAGACGACTGGGTCCCTGTAAGTATTCAGTTTGTCCTCTCACACACTCTACTTAGAGACCATTATATGTTGTCAGTGAAGTTGTGAGGTACCAGGCGTTTATATACACGCACACACACGCGTTATTTTTAACCAGCTGTCATGAGAGATAATTGCGTCCCAACCCTTTTTTTTTTTTTTGTCCTCTTACAAAAGAAAAACAGGTTTTTGTTGTTTTTTTTCACAGTGCAACATCACACAGTCACATGTCCAAACGGCTCCATAAACCACACTGTGAATGTTGACGTAGCACAAATGCAGCGTTATAAAGGAATGGAGGGTGGATGTACTTTTGTGTCCATTGAAGGGTGTGTCTGCGTTTCCTCATTTACAGGTGCAGATAAAGAGATGCACACGCACACACACACACACACAGCCTCTCTCTGGAATCCTCCCCGACCGGTGGAGTTTGCCCCGGGCTCAGTAGTCTTATGACAGAGAAAATCATTAAAAAGCACCTCAGTTGCTTTGTAGAGTCCACATAACCCGATCCCTGCGTCTCATGTGAGCACAAAGCCACAACGCCCCTCGTTTTGAATATTAGGAAGAATGAATGTGAAGTACGTGGGAGTATAGCTGCAGGTTTAAACGTTTAAAGTGATCAGCACACCTTAGAACAAATCTTCATGGATTCATCGGCTCAGCTGTGATTCACAGTTCGTGACTATCTCACTAAAAACCATAACCTGATAACTCTGTCTTAAATTAAAGCCTGCTGAACTATTAACCTTATGTATTGTGTATAGTTATGTGCTGAACTGAATGTGACAGCTGGGACTAACAACACACTGATCAGCAAACCCACAATGAAAGGGTTGTGGCCGCTTCCAACCGCTGTCGGCCCCGTCTCAAGGTCCGATTTATATTTAAAAAAAGATATTGCACCAATGACATTTCAGCATAAACGTGCCCATAAAGTCTTGCAGCCGAGTGAAATTTGCAATTATCCACGTGGGAAAGTATAAATGTTGCCTTTACGCCAAGAACACAGTAGACCGGAATGGCAGAGAGGAAAATTCAAATAAAATTTTCCGACTGAGAGCTACAGGTCCTGACCGACAAGCAGCAGAGGTATTCCTCAAAATGTCAAATATAGTTTAAAATATCCTCACGTTTGCATTGTCCAAAGATTTGCTTGTTTTCAATTTTAAATTGAATCAATTCATAATATCCAATATCGAAACCTTTCAAATGAAACCCAGTAGAGCTGCAGATGTTAAGTTGATATACTGAAGAAAATTTAACCAGAATTTAAAAAAATAAGTTTATAAGTAGAAGAATTAGTCTTTTTGATTGTGCGTTATATTATGTTTGGGCTGACATCCGATTTATTTATTTTATTTTACTGTTTTTCTAATGTTTTCAATAATCCGTAGCTGCAGCACCTAAACCCAGGCCGTAGATTCTGCCGTATAATTTACTCGGCTCTACTCCCGGATTGTTTCAGTGACACAGTTTGACGTTTTAAAAGAAACCATCGTCATTTGTTTCCTTCTGTCCTCCAGTTGCTCCAGGAGGAGGGTGGCAGCTCCCTGCTGCAGAGCTTCAGTCACTCCCTGCACAGCCGGGAGCGCGTGATCCAGGTGGGTGAGGTGATGAGGGGAGACGGGACTCAGTCATGCACACAGCAGTGAGATCCTCTTCAAAGCTCACAGGAATGTTTGTCTGCAAAGTCACTGTACGCCCTTAAAGTGGCAGCGTCAAAGCTGCTTTGTCGGTTCACTACATTGTACCGTTGACGCTGAAGTATGGTTTGTTTTTTTTAAGCTTTGATCATGGCTGCTTTTATTTTTAGCTACTTGGTAGGTTGATGATTTACAGCAGGGACTTCATTGGAATGTTGCTCTCATTGTAAGTCACTCTGGATCAACGTCATAGTGGTTAAAGCAAACAGGACCGTTAAGGGTGCTTGAATGGATTACAGAATATTAAAGATGATCAATAAGTGACTGTAGAACAGAGTCCCTGTTGCACTTTTACCCGTGGCTTGATGTTGTGTCACACTAATGGCTTCTTTTATTTTTGAATGTGTAAATAAATACAAATATATTTTTCATAACAAGCAGGTTGATGAGACGATCAATACCAACCACACCCATATTTGTGTGTTGGATGGGAAACCACAGCCAGTAACTTGTTAGCTTATTTATGCTTGACTCTTACAAAAATCTGCACTTAAATCTGTCAACTGAACTTAAAAACTGCAGTTGAAATGTTTTTTCCCCCTAGCTACAGTGCTGTTAGTGTGTTCAGACAGATGTTTCCTCTCTTCCAGGAGTGCATGGGTCTGATCAGAAGGCTGTGTGTGGAGGAGGCAGCAGGCACAGAGCTGGCCAACAAGCTGACTGAGAATCTGAAGGAAACTCAATCTGACAACAAGGTTAGAGTCGACTCTGTCCTTCTCCACCCTGACTATTGACATGCTTATGTCTGCTTATGATGACACACCCTCTCACTGAAGCGTAGCAGTAATCGGCATGAGCAGACAGACTTTTGCTGATAGTCGTCAGACTCCATGCTGCTGTCCCTGGAGGTTTCTGTATGAGCAGAGCAGGTCCTGTGATTGGTATTTTTACCTCAGGCCTGTAGGAGGTTTTTACCAGTCCAGCAGTAGCATTTCAGCAATTTCCTCCAGCTCTGTGGAGAGAGTATGGCTGACATTACACACTGTGTTTTGAGTTAACTTCATTCTGTCATTAAATCATATGAAGATCAACATCTTGTTTGAAGCAAATTATGAATTTGGATGTTTACAGCAAGAAAAACCTGTTTCAGTCTTCACAAAAGGCACCTGACTATTGTTTCTAGACAGATTTAAAAAATTGAGAATCAAAAAAAACCTTTAATCAATAATTTGTTTTCTCTGCTTATCAGGGTTTCACGTTGCATTGATTTAATTATTTATTAGAAATGATTGTTGTATTCTTCTGAGAGGTACTGAAAGCAGTGATAAATTCTAGGCCATATCTTTACCGGTTTCCAGTTACACTTTCATGTTTTGGCTGGTATGATCTTCAATTTGGTATAAATTAACATTTTGTTTGGTATTAAAAAGGTCTTAAATTGAACTTAATGGACCCTGCAGAAACCCTGGTCTGATAAGCAGTGAACAGTAAATGTGCAGGCAGCATAAGTAAGTTTTGTCACAGGATAAATGCTACACCTTTAGAACCAAGCGGTCTTCCTGAGTTTTCTTCTTCTTTTTTTTACGATTTATGGATTTGTCGTTCGGTCTATGAAATGTCAGAAAATAGTGAAAAATGAATGTTACAACTTCCAAAAGTCAAAATCAATGTTTTATGTTTGGTATTTGTGCTTGAAAATGTACTCAAGTGATTATTCGATAATCAAAACATTTGGCAACACATTTTCTGTCTATCAGTTAATCGACGAATTGTTTCAGCTCTACAGATGTTGTATTTAAATCTAAACTGGACGTCTCGCATGACAACGTTTTGTGATCTGTAGGCCGCCCTGCAGACTGTGAGGTCCGAAGCGACGGCGAAGGACAAGAGCATGGAGAAAGAGATCGAGGCACTGCGGAAGGCTGGAAGAGACCGAGAGGGAGACCTCGACACACTCAACGCCGTGCTGCAGTGCAACCAGGATATCATCAACGTACGAACACACGCACACATTAGAAACCGGGGATGGAAGTGCATGCATTGCAGTTCAAAACAAATTCTTACTACCTTCAGACACAGTGTACATTTGTACTTTGTCCCGTGCACAGTTCACTCTACATGCACTTGGAACTTTTATTTAGATAGAACTGTGTTTTGCCTTTGCTGCAGGAGCTGCGAGTGGCTCTGGAGGAGAAGGAGCGACGGCTGAAGGAGGTGGAGAAAGAGAGGGCGGTGTGGAGACAGAGGGACTGCGCCCTCGCCACTGTCCTGCAGGAGAAGGAGGCTCTGATCCAGGAGCTGGCGAGCTGTCAGAAAGATGTGCAGGTAATATACGAGGGTGTAATTTCTGGCTAGTATGGGAGGAGAGGTCTGTCTCCCTCCCTTTTCAAAGGGATATAAAGTGTTAATTTAATGTCTTCCACCTTTGGTATAAAGTTGCAGCGCTTTCCTTCTCTCTGTATTATTAAATGAGGGAAACTGTTACTCACAACATGTCATTTTCCTCCATGCTCTCTCTGATTGGTCAGGGTTTTGTAGGAGACACGGAGGGAAATGGCGCCACCTTGTGCATGGAGGTCACCAAACTCACCACAGCCCTGCAGGAGTACCAGGACATGGTGCAGGTGAGATGTTAGCAGGAGGAGGGGATTTGAATGTTGTTTACAATGAAGAGAAAACTGGAAAAAATAAGTTGAGAATGATTTTTTTTTTTTTCACCTACAACTTCTTGACACAGAACACTTTTATAGATTTAGACTTTGATATTACAGAAAACAATATTTAATAGTTTTTCAAATTTTTGATTTAAGACCTTGATTGCATGGTGTGGAGTACAGCTGAAACGATTAGTTGGTAATCGATCGACAGAAAAAATAATCCACTAAGTACTAACTATAAGCAACTATTTTGATAATTGATTAATTGTTTCAGTCATTTTTAAAAAAAAATTTTTATGAAATAATAATTAATTTAGATAGCTGTAGATGTGCTGGAAGGCAGGTTTTGAACAGAGCCGGGCTAGCGGTTTCCCCCCGTTTGCAGTCTTTATGCAAAGCTCAGCTAACTAGCACACACAGACAACACAGCGTCTCAACCTTTTGAACTATTCCCTTTTCCTCTTCCCCAGAATCAGCAGGGGAGTCACAGTCAGACCGTGTCCTCTCTGACGGAGCAACTCAGCGACATTCGGCGGGAGCTGAGGGCGAAGCAGAAGGAGAAGAAGGAGGCCGATAGAACCCGGCAGAACGACATAGAGGACCGAGAGAGAGAGGAGAGGAAACTGAGGGACAGCCTGGAGAAGAGAGACAAACTCATAGAGGTAAAGTGCAGGAATCTGATGCTTGTTGTCTCAATATTCAGAGACAATTGTGGAACACATCGTCCACGTTAGTTTAACACCAGTGTTTTTGATATGCTAAATAATTTCAAATGTGAGGATTTTCTGTCTTTGGGTTTTGGACTGTTGGTCGGACAAAACGACATGGAAAATTTCACAGTAAAAATATTTGGCAGATAAATCAATTATGAAATTAGTTGTAGTCCTAAATTTCTCTCTCCCCAAAGAAATATTTTATTTTAAGTTCATACATGACGGCATGCTACAAAATATGACTTTTTTGCAAAAAACAGCACTTTTCTACTTTTTGTTTTTGGAGGCGTAGTTTCAACATTTTTTTCTTAAATGAAAAACCTTAAACAATCCTAAACATCAGTGGCAGGTTTTAATGTCAGATCCTCCAGCTTTTAATAGACTCGCAGTCTTATCAAGAAAAATAATGTTGTTAATTTCTCAACAATAGTAACGAGTTAGAAGGTAATTCTAAAAACTCTCCATCTACTTCTAACTGAAAAAGAACAAAATAAAAGTGGGTCAACAAAAGCATAAAGTGCAGCACTTACATTAAAGGATAAATTGGGAATACTGTATTTTCTGGGATTGCTAACCAATACCACGAAACGGCAAAATGCAACAATAAATATATCCTGCTAAAAAAGTATGTCATGTATCTGAAAATTCATCATGAATACTTGCGATGGTGACTGACTTCTTTTATTTTTCTTCAGCAAATCCTGTTGGATGCTGAGGAGCGTGACAATCTGTTCAGAGAGCTGCAGCAGAACCTGCAGAACAAACGTGAACCTCTGACGGCCGTCAAACACACACTGTGATGTAGGACGACGACTGTACGCACCGGACGCAAACTAACTGCACGGAGAAGGAAGATCTCTTTTGCACTTTCTACACCACCGTTTTGCCTCTGCAGCATATTTATCGTGGTGAACTTTAAGTCTATTTATATTTATCTCTCTACATTTTTGAGGTTTGCATTTGCAGACCCGTCTTGTTTTGGCAATTTTCCACAATAACTACTTGATTCTCTGGACTGAATCAGTAATTTCAGACTTAAGAGACTCATACAACCTGCTTTTCAGTGTGGAGGGATGTCAAGTTCTTATAACTGGATGTTTAATACTTGATTTAAAATCACCAGATTACTGTATTTAGTTATGTTTTGAATGTAGTGGGTCTAATGATCGGGCAGTGATTGGATCTCATTGCATGCAGTAGGATTGTTGATACAAACATTTCTGAATGGTATGAATGTTGGTGGATCCTGAGTAGCATTAAATGTGTCCTTTAGGACAGGCGCGGGTATGAAATAGCTTTAAATCTAAATGTAACTTATTTGCAGTTTCTTTATTGTGTTTGTCTTTTCACTTTATGGTACAGAACTGTCATTTTTTTTGTTTACAGTGCTATAATGGCACTTCTGGAGGGAAATATTTTGGACCAAAATTATATTTTTAACCTCTTTCCTTTTTGGCTTTTATGTCACACTTTTTTTTACATCTTAAACGTGTACATGTTTAGTAATGTTAGTTAGTATGGGACTTCATTACTGGAGACATTTCCTGTTTGTTTTTTTGTTTAGCTCAAGAGAATTAAACACTCTGATCCAAAGTACTTATGTCTATAGACGCTGTTATTTCGTGAACTATCATACATACTTGGTGGTTGCGCTGGTTCCGGAAGTGTTTTTCCCCATTCTGCATTTCACTTTTTTCTTTAATTTATCAATTGTTTTCGTCACATGTTATCATATGTTATAATTCCAGGGAAATGGATAGTGTCAAATAAATGTAAAATCAGAAATATCCCGGATAATTTAAGAATCCTATAGGCGTTTAAATCATGTGTTGTGCGCATGGGTCGTGCGTCATTTTGGCGTAATTGACGGGTCAAAATAGCCTACAATACCCAGGAGCCTCTCCCGCCGTCGCTATGAAAAAGCATTTTTCAGAACATCCTCGTCGTGAATTGAAAACATTTGAACTTTAAATAAATGAACCAAACACGACGCTAAAGTTCTTAAAGGTATCTACAAATAAAGTAAAGTGATTACCCGTTCTTTTACCTGCCGTTAGCGTTAGAACAGAATTCTAAGCTCTGTGATTGGATATTTCTTGCCGAAATGCATCCTGGGAGTCGTAGTTAATTTATCTTTAAAAAAGCGTTTAATTTCACAGGCTTTTAACTTTGACTTTTCATCAAAAAAACATATTTTCTAGTTAGTTGCACGTTCGAAGAGTTGATAGATTCAACCTGTACACGTGCTTCAACTCTGAATCACGTGACATTTTGTCTATGGGGACAATGAATGGGGATTTGACAATAAGAGCCGGTGTTGAGTGACATCACCCCCCGTCTTCTCCTCTAGCCAATCACCTAATAGCTTTGAGTTTCTTGTTACTTCAGGAACCGTTGCTATGGAGTTCATACCTCAACAGTTCTCACAAAGTTCTCACTCCGGATGCTTCTCAGTAGATAAATGCTATTAATTAGAAAGATTCATGATATTTAGAGAGGACGGTGGATGTGAAGGAATGCAGGTCCAGTCGGTTCCCCTCGGTTTCGTCACCATCGGACCGGAGTCTTGGCGCGATGGAACGGTCCGCACCATCCAGCGGGCGGAGCGCCTGGTGCGGGAGACTCGAGCCGGTCGGTCCGGAACTTGCAGCTTTCCCCGGAGCTGCAGCGCCACCGCTAGTTTCACCCCGAAGCGCACGGAGGGCACGACGGAAGATAAGATCACAGCGCAGGAATGCGGAGAGAGCCGTGACTGCGTCTGCAAAAATAAGATGCAAAGGTCGAAAACCGCAGGAGCGACGGTGAGAAAGCACAGGCGTGCAGAGAGATGTGCTGCCTGCAGGCTATAGGCGACCTGAACACTGAGGACAGGAAGCACTTCACTGATCTGACTCATTTGGGATAAAGTAATGTTTTCAAATGGCGAAGTAGACCTATATATCTTGCATACAGAATATACCACAGTACACAGTAACTCACAAGTAGCCTAAAAGTCCTGCATTGGCAAGTCTAAGAAGCCTATTATCAGTCATAAGTAGGCCCATTCATTATACTGAAAGGCTAGTGTTAAAGTACATTCATTACATTATTTGATTGTTATTACAGATGCATTAACATGGTTGAGTCTATATTTTAGAGGCTGCTTATGTGTTTTGTAAATACAAATCGTAATCTGTAAAGTAATTATTAAAGCTGTTAAATAGATTTAAAGTTGTAAAAAGCATAATATTATTTCTCTCTGAGATGGAGTAGAAGTATAAAGTTTCATAAAATGGAAACTACTAGTCAAGTACTAGTACCTCCAAAATTGTACTTGCATGGTATTTGTGTAGTTGTGTTTGATAACTTTCCATCACTCACTCAGACATTTAGAAGTCGTCATCTAACGCTCTTCTGAAGTTCCCTAGTGGCTCCCAAAGAAAGTCTGTGGCCCCGTTCCCGCCGAGCAGCCTGCGTGAGCAGTGTGCAGGGGCCAGTGTGGCCGTGGCCTCTGAGTGCATGCGGAGGGTGCGGGAGGTGGAGGGCCAGTTGCGCAGGCAGGCCGGCCAGACGACCCAGGAGGGCATCAAGCTGGAGAGGGAGAGGGGTCACCTGGAGAGGATGCTGCGCAGCCTCAGGACCGATCTGACCGTCAACAGGAGGAGCTCGGAGGGGAGGACCAGGAGGCCGTCCCCTGCTGAAACCGTTAAGTTTACTCTCGTCTCTTTGCTCAAATCTTTTCCCTACACTGTGCTGTGTTCTTTGGGCAATAGTGTGAGGAATACAGTCATATAACCAGGCGATCCACAAGGAGGACACTGCATCATATATCGCTGTTTTGTTTTGTTCTGAAAAACACCAAAAATAGTTTCTCCACAGGGATCACTGTGGTGTTGCATTTGAGTCGAGGCTCAAGTTGCACAGATCTTAAATATTTGAACTTTTAGTCTCAATCACTGTCGATTTTGGACTTTATGTTTATCTAAGGATACAAATAATATATTTATGATTTAGCTCTCTATAAATAGATAATTTAGTCAATTCTTAGTTTATTTTCTGCCCTGGTAATGTTTTGATTTCACCTGCAGAAACATGCAGGAAACTCAAAAAAACTACAAAAGTTTTGTTATAGTCACACGCGCCTCACACATTATTATTACTCACTTATTCAGACAAAGTACTGCTGATATCGAACCATTGTTAAATCCTTTCAATATTTACGATAAAAAGTATGTTACGTTTTCACTGCCATTCCAGCTCAATCCAACACCAGACGTGGTGTAAGTGATACGACGGGTGGATTAATATATTGAGCTCTGCATTGCGAGCTTAAAGAGAGGAGATGTGTTTGCTGACAGGTCCGCTCTGTTGCAGGAGAGAGACGGTGCTGATTACTTGTTGTTGTGGGAGAGAAGAGAGCTGGCCCAGTTGAAACAGGATCTGGAGGAAGTGCTGAGAAACACACTGACCCTGCTACAGGTGATTTACAACGTCACTGTTCTGTCTGCATCAGTTGACTCATCCCCCCCCCCCCGTGTCTGTTTCTTTCTCTCTGTTCCACTTGCCCTTCCATGTGATTTACTGGCACGAGTGATAGAGGAAAAACGACGCTGCCAAAGCCTTCACGCACCAATAACCTCCTAAAGTTTCCTTTTGAACAGAGATCAAATTATATGAATGCAAAGTAAAATCAATTCTAGTGCGTACCTGCCAAGACCTATTATGATAATGTCATTCACTCTTACAATAAAGCCCTCTTCATAAGAAAACAGTTTAACAAGCTACATAGAAAATATAAGTTGCACAGTGAAAATGGCTTCAAGGGAACTTGGAGTGAATCTTCCTACCAGGAAGCCAAACACAAAATCAGTTCTGGAGTTTGTTCTGGAGTTGAAAAATTAATTGGCAACTATTGTGATAATTGATAAATCATTTGAGTAATTCTTTCAAAGGAAAACAATTAAATATCTTCTTGTTTCAGCTCTCAGTGGGAGAATGTGCTGCTTTTCATTTCTTACATAATTGGCAGAGGAATCAACATTTGAAAATAATCGTTAGCTGCAGCCCTAGTGTGTCTTCCAGGCCCTGGGTCGGAGCAGCAGACAGCTGCTGGACTGTGCCGGTGAGAGGGCTCTTGTCCTGGATCTGCTGCCTCACAGAAGCTCTGCTGGAGGACCTGGCCGGGCTGCTCAGACCTTCAACAGAATAGACCCCGTCAGCCCCTTCACTCCAGGTACACTCAGGACATGAAGTCAAACGGTGTCAATGCCCAATGCCTGCAGCCAATCGTGCTGTTAAAAGCAGCTCTCAAGGAGAAAAGACTAATTACTCAAAGCACGACAACAGAAGGAGATTCATTTTCAACACATTTTTTAAAACATTTGAAACATTGGTATTTGTTGAGTTTAAGACTCAGGATATTAATTTACTTAAAAGTTCATATGTGTGATAATGTGCTCATAATGACAATGCTAATGTTTACAAGGTTCACCATCTTAGTTTAGTATGTTAGCATGCTAACATTTTTAATCAGCACTAAAAAACAAAGTATAGCTGAGGCTGATGGAAATGTCATTAGTTTTATTTGGTCATAAAGCAAATTACAGACCTTATGTTGGTGCTAACTTAAAAGTTAAGGGCTCACCAAAGTCATTTGTCTGCAGCAAATGTCATGGCAATCCATCCAATAGTTGTTTTTCAGTCCGGCACAAAATGGTGGACCTAGAGCCACATCGCTAGCATGGCTAAAAACTGTGCAAGACTGTATGCCTTCACTCTATTTAATGAAATGAATTGCTTGTGTACCTTAGTGTCCCTAACTGTCCTTTATTATGTCTTACAAAGGGCTGAGTAACTACTGAATATGTTCAGAGTGTAAATATGTGTATTTTTATCATTATTATCATAGTATCTCTCCATAAAACATTGAATACTTTCATCGCTAATTTACACCATCGCTAACAACGTACCTGCTTACAGTCTCAGAGCAGATCATATTAGGAGATGCAGGAAGAGGTTACTTTAGGATATCCCCTCACTTCTACCATAACTTGTTTAATTTAAACACAATATTTTAGATCACTGACTTATCTTCTTGCAGAATGTAAACAGGTGTTAGAGTCGTCCACTTCGACAGTCAAACAGTCACAGCTACTGAGGGAAAACATCAGACAGATGCTAACCAGTGCCATCACCAGGCAGAAAGCTGTTCACCGCAGCGTCAACGATGGCCTGGTGAAAAAAATTGCAGAGACAATCAGTCTGCAGGTAGAGACAAATATAACGTGTTAAACATCAATACAAAAATACTCTTGACACCATTTTAGTATCAGAATAATATTTCCATTTCATTCTGTCTTTTGTAGCAAAACCTGACTTTGATGTCGGCAGCCACCAGGCAGGCCATGTTTCGCAAGCAGAGGGAAATTAACTGCATTCATCACAGCCACGGCAGAGTGCAGGTTAGTTGGTGTGTATGTGGAACAGGATCAGTGAATGTATTGGAGATTCAGAGACAATGTGCACAAGGTGAAGTTATGCTTGTGTTGTTGTTGTGTGTTTACAGGGTCCGGAGTACAGCGGCGACATACAGTCCAGAGAGAAACTCAACAGGCCTCTGGTGCAGGTTTATCAGAGACATCCAGGGACACAGTTACCTGAGGCTGCTCATCTCATACAGGTGTTTAGTCCTACCAAAATATCTATTTATATACCTGCAAACATACACATAAATGAGGAGGATAGGAATGTGGCTACCACCCTCTTCTTCATATTTCATTAAGGGGGTTTGAGTCGTTGATTAGTGCAGCTCCAGTTTATTTTTTCACAACCTGGCGACCTACAAGTTGTTATACGATTTATTACTGAAGTTTATGAGTTGTTTATTAAGCATTTGTGAAGTCACTAACTACAAGTTATAAATGATAAAGATTGCCTTATTAGAAAGTGGTGCCAGAATTTGAAAACAGTCAGTTGACAAATAAACCTTTCTGAGAAAAAGGGAAATATTATGTGAGCTTGCACTCGCACCTCTACAGACAACAATCTGCATCACTAATCTAAACCAAAGCGGGACTTGTCTCTTGATACTGCCTCAACACATTATAAGTCAGGTGAACACTGACCTGAATACAGGAAATAACAGTAAACAAACATTCTTATCTTTAAACTTAGCTAGAAGTGTCCTTCCTATACAATAGGAGGAGTTTCTCACCTCATGTGTGAAAATAAAGACAAACCCAAAACATGCATTGCAGATGTTCACACCATATATTTAAAAAAAGCACTCGGTGGTCGAACACCAACCAGTCCTCTTGTCGCCTGCTGAGTGTCTCAAACAAACCAAACCGGGCTAAATGTATTTCCTGTGTGTGTCTCAGGGCAGTGCAGTGCTGAGGCGATGTCTAACGTCCTGTGAGGGGGAGCTGGCCGGACTGCAGCGCACCTGTCTGCAGCTGCTGGACGACCAGCACGGCAAGAGAGGAGCGGCTCAGGTGGATGCTGCTGTCTTCCGCATGAGGCGGAAACAGGTCGACAAGCGAGCCATGCCCTCTGTCCTCCAGCAGGAGGCGGGCAGAAGACGACCCCTCATGTCTTGTACTCAGTAGGGCTGCAGCAATATGAGAGACATGAGCTTTGTGTGTTGTGGGAAATAAGGAGCAGTCATGTGCAAAATGTACGGGTTCAAGATGAGTAAAATGTGATGCACTGCAAAGAGTGTGAGACTCTTCTGTTGACATCGGAGGATTCTTCTCAGGTAACTTAAGTAAGCTTTGACTAATGACCTGTACTACTTATGGCAACATTTTATTTGCCATAACCCTTTCATCGTGGTCTAATTTACCGCAATAAAATATGACCATGATAGGAACAATGGCCTTATACAGTTAAAGTAGAAACAGAAAAGAAGTAGTGTCTAATATGATTATCTTATCTAACAAGATTATCAGATTTTTTCACCAAAACACATTTATTTCCATATTAAACAAAAGTCTTACCGTATATTTAAAGATATAAACTGAAAAACTTGCCTTTTGTGAACAAAAGCAGCCCGTGAATTTAACATCCTTTCCAGAAATTCTCAGATATCTAGTCATGGGACTGCATGTCACTTGACAGCCCTCCTTCCAAACGCAACGTCTTTCATTAACAAATAAGACCTGATTTAATAAACCTGCCCTGTGTTACCTGAGTACACGCCACATGTCTTGTATCTGTAAAATACACATGACATAAACTAGAGTGCAGTTCCCTCACAGAGCCCTATTGATTCCCTCAAATCTGAATGGGGCTATTCTCTGCAGGACAGTGAGCGCTGTAAAGTCATGACTGTCACCGGGAACCTGACAGCCTAATTGAATGATAAGTTTGGGTGTGGAGGTTCTTGGAGTCCACAAACAGAATATCAAGAGAAATCAGAGGACATTTCCCTTCAGATCTCTGCAGCTGGGCCGGCCGAGGAAGCGCAGAAAGCCAGGAGAAAACTCGGAAACTGACTTAAATCCATAAAGATGGATAATTTAAGAGATTGCTTGTGTTTGGGATGAAAACTGGTTTATTCTAGAATGTAACAAGAAAGAGTCGACGTTAAAGGACTGAAAATTCAAGCTGCAAGCATATTTTCTCCCTGTGAGACGGAAACGCTCAATAATGTCGGAGCTGGTTTGCTCTCTGCTTCTCCTTTGTTTACTTCCTGCTGTGGGTAAGTGGACAAATTACAAGTGTGTGTGTTTGCTTGTGTGTACGTATGCTCCGAACATGCATGCTATTGCCAACAGAAATACTTTCGCTTGGGCAGCAATAGCAAATAGTCGGGCTGCAACCAACAATTTTTTTTAGAGGTGATTAATCTGTGAATTATTTTCTCAATCAACTGATTAACTGTGCGGTCTATAAGTCGTAAGAGAGCCAATTTTGTCCAAGGTGATGACTTCAAATGCATCATCTTACTATCATGTAAGACAAGGAAACCCATTACCACTGATAATAATCATAAACGTATGTTTTTAACTCATAACTTGAGTATTTAAATTCAGAGCAACGGATCGTACAGTTTGAAATGAATCATGTTTTGGATCATAATTTAAGCTCCTCTGCAAAACTAAACTTAAGAAATGTGGTTTCAAACAACACTTCTGTCCTTCAGCTCCCCTCTTCTGTTACACCTGCGTGTTCCCTGCCATCTCACCCCTGGACTGCATCAGATTCCCTCTCAGGTGTCCACCCGGGCAGGTCTGTCTGTCCAGCAGAGCTGTGGGCGAGAAAGGTGAGCGAGCCTCAAGTCACTGAACAAAATTCAAATGAATCAAAACTGAGAAAAAGAACCGAGACACGCAACATGGGCGGAAATGTGTCAGTGTGTTGTTTTTTTTTGAGCGAGTGTCTGTGAGAGTCTCTCTTAAACTGAGGTTTGTGATGGTTTTTAAGGAGACTTCCATGTGGTGTTGTATGAGAAGAGCTGCGTCGGGCCCTCCCTGTGTGGAGTCACGGGAGAAAAACACACCATGGGACTCAACTTCACCTTCACCAATGAATGCTGCAACACACATCTGTGCAACGATGCTGTAGTACCTGCTACCTCTTACTGGACTGGCACATTACTCACACTTCTTAGTTCATACTCCGTTTGGTGAATTGTAAAATATGTGGAAGAGAACTAGTTTAACACACATGAAGTGGAGTCCGCCCTCTAATGGACTGACATTGTGCTCCATTCCTTTAAGTGCACTAATCTGTGCTAAACCAAAGTTGCTCTGTTACAAAGGATGTCGCATTACGAGCTCCGCCAGAGGTTTGAAATGGTGGATGGATAAAAGCAGATTCTTTTAACATTGGACGGCTAACCGCCATATTTAGCATAATTCAAATTATTTTGCTAGGGCGTTAGCTGCCGGATCTCACGAGATTCTGTTGCTGACACAAGAGTACAGACACAGAAAGGTCGCAAACAAAGTGAATTTTCTCTGTATGTGTCGGTCTGAAAAATGCCATTTCAGTGTCAGAATGTCCAATCTCTACTTGTGTGACTATTAATAAATGTTCACTTCTCCCATGGGAGTTAATAGACTCTGGTCCTGTTGCTAGTCTCCTTGAGAGTGATGGTAAAACCCACGTAAATACAGAAACAGGAACCTGACTTTCATGGTGTCTCGTTTCTGTAATGTCTCTGGCTAAACTGAGGTTTGTTTTACTATGTTTGTGAGATGGAAAAAATAGATATATTTTTCTCTGATTATTGCTAACTAAAGGTGTGTGTCTGGTTGCAGCTGTTTTTGAAGTGGAGAGTGGGGATGAGTGTAACATGTTTAGCTTGTGTTCCCATGATTTGTAATTTCATTAAAACGAAGAAAATAAACTACCTCTATCCACTTATCAGTCAACTTGTCACAATTTGTATGCAAAGAGATGGAGGTGCTTATTATATCAGTGCTGACATTCTATTTTGAAAAAAGTACGAGCAAAGTAGGAGAAGCAAATACAAGACATATTGAGAATAATTAAATGTCAAATTAATTGTTCACCCACTGTTTGAAAACAATATATATTAAAGATAAGTTCAGAAAAACATTTACATTTTCCCTATCACACATTTAAGTCGATATCATCCAACTTTAAATAATCCAATAAACCATAAGGATGAACATGTTCAGTAAACAGACTTGAAGTATAATAACTAAAAGTAATGTTTATTTATTTGCACATGAAGAAGCTAACTTTATCCCATTAGACTTTTCAAGAGGGATATATTACACATTTTTTATATATATAATTTAATGCTTTCTAAACCTTCACACCATGGAAGCTATTTTGACTTGTCATAGAAAAAACACATGTCCCAGTGAGCTGACCGGAAATTGGCTCCCCTGATTAGAGAGGAGCCATCACTGAGGTTATTACTTCCTCTTGTGCTTTTCTTCATATAAAATGGGTTTTAAATGGTTTATAAGTACAATAGGATGACATTTTACTCGTTACACAAACAGAAGTATGATAAATCATACGTTTAAGTACGAACAATATACCTGTTAGGACTTGGACTACTTGTCGCATCAAATTGTTTCTCAACAGGTGTGTGTCGTCATTTCGTTTCCGTTTGCTTGCTCTTCTTCACCAGGTGCTGTTAATTAGGCCCCAAACTAAGGAGAACGTCATCAGTGATAATACTCTTCAGATAAGGTTGAATTGTTAACCGTAAAATAAAAAAAACATCAGACTTACAGGCATGGTTTACCCGTTACTGCTGTTCATGCTGCCGCTGTTGTCCTCCACCGATGGAGGAACGCCACCGACGTTCGAGGCATTAAAACAAACGACCCAGGTGATGAGAAATGTTTCCCGGAGGGACACACCGACTCTGCCCGTACGGGGAACCCTGCCCCCGGTTCGGGCTAACGCCAGTCCGCCCAGAGCTACGGGTGATTCCGTGAGCACTTCGTGCGAGCTCAACAAGATGGTCGTGCAGGTGCAGAGGAGCATTTTAGGCACCGGTGAGCCGGACTCTCAAGTCAAACTGGGGACATGCCAAGCCAGTAAATCCACGAGGGATTACCTTTATTTTGAATACGACGTTGGCATGTGTGGAACCAAACGCACGGTGAGCTTTAACAACAGCCTAATATCTTCCGCTGTGCTAAAATATTTTAGCCATGATAACAGATAAGCCATGTGCTAGCGAGGGGGCAGCAATCTCTGTCTGTTTGGTGGTCCACCACTTTGGTCCAAAATGAAATATCTTAACATTTATATGATAGTATTATTATTGTTATTAATCCAACTTTATTTATATAGCACCTTTTTAAAAGCATAGTCTTGTTAAAGGAAGGATACATCTCAGCTGATTTGTTTTTTGTTTGCAGATAATTAATAACCATGTGGCCTATTCAAACACGCTACAATATGATCCATTAAGGCTCCAAGGACCAATCAGGCGAGCTGTGCCGTTCTCCCTGCCTGTTGCATGTTATTATAACAGGTGAGACTGGATCCAGACCAGAAAAGATTCTGTGCCAAGTTTTTTTTTTTTTTTTTTTTTTACAACCTTGTAACATAGAAATCAGCTATTGGAGCTGTTTTATTAAATCTGAACAATATGTTTAAATGTTTAGGTACCAATACTCCGAATACACACCAAAGATGCGGCTGCGCAAGATCGTCACAGCAATGAGGAAAAGAGCAAAATTCATTCTGACTCCTCGAAATGGTAAACCCTGCAAAAAATGTGTTTTATTATCAACTGACTCTTCTATGGGCTCTCGAAAAGCGTTGGAGTTTGAGAATGGAAGAGACCATGCAATTAGAACTTTTGGAAAATGGATTTATGGCCTTGGCCCTTTTTAATGGTTCCACCCGGAAAAAGTAATAGAAAAAAATATTTAAGAAAAATAAGATGTATTTTTTGCAGCAATCCCTCTGAAACTAAAGTACCAATAGAAATGCCATCTCCAAAATTTGCAGAGAAAACCATTGAAGGATTAAATACAAATTTAGGGTTTCGAGGACCAGTGTAGGATATTGTGGCATCTAGTGGTGAGGTTGCAGATTGCCTATAACTGAATACCCCTCCGCTCACCCTTCCCTTTCCAAGCATGTCAGAGAACCACAATGGTCTTCAGGCAACGTAATAACGCGAAAGACATTCTCTTAAGCCAGTGTTTAGTTTGTCTTCTCAAGACTACTTGAAATAATAATAATGAATATATTTCATTCCTGCCAGTAGATCCCCAAAAATCCTACACACTTGTCCTTTAAGGAAATTCTGGTCGGTATCATGTGCCTCAGCCTTTGAATATCATCTAACAAGCCATTTTTATTAAATTTCTCGGTCTTTAAATTTGAACTGGACTGCATGAATGAGGGAGAACTCTTGAAGCTGCTACCGCTGCAGCTGTTGTTGCCTGACTGCTTCCTTCTTTCAGCTCAGTGGGAAAAGCTTTCGCCGTCGGATCAGTACGTGCTCGGGAAGTCCATGTACTTTGAGGCAGAGGCTCGGTCCGTGTCCCGAAACAAAAGACTGTACGTCCACCTGTGTTACGCAACTCCCGAGAAGTCCCACACCTCCACACCTCAGTTTCCAGTCGTGCAAAACTTTGGGTAACAAACACCTCCCTCTCACACAAACTGAAGACCTTGATATTTATTGTTGCTCTGATTTTATTTTAACAGAAACAGCTGTGTACAAAAGAAGAGCATATGTAATGGTCAGGTTTTCTCTCCCTCTGATAAAGGTGTATGGTTGAAAGCAAGGACAGTCGCTCCAGATTCATCCCATACAAAAGCAATGCTGTGAGATTCTCTGTGGATGCCTTCTACTTCACGGGAATGACCAGCCAGGTGAGCAAAAATTCTTCAAGTTATCACCTTCGCAAAAATTGTCTAATCTCTTTGCTGATCCTGTTTTTGTTTTAATACTGTGATTAAAGACTAACACCTTTTAACTGATTGTAAATATTGTTTTCTGATGTCCTGTAGCATATCTACATGCACTGCTCCATGTCTTTGGGCAGCTCTGTCCCCACACCCACAGCAAAGTCCTGCAACTACAACACTCAAACAAGAAAGTTAGTTTTTTGTTTTGTGTGGAGAAATTGACTTAGAAACACAAAGTTTAACCGTGCTGTACAAGTCTTGGCTCAAAAGGGATCAGCTCTCCATCATTGTTTTTCTCAGATGGGTTGAGCTATATGGACCAGACCTGGTGTGCACCTGCTGCGACTCCAACTGTAGCTCTGCTGCTTCCACCGGTGAGTCATTACTTCCCTTATTTTCCATGATTAATCACATCTTATTACCATTACAGGATATCGCTGGAGAAATTACTTATTGTCAACGAATCCCATGAAAAGATCAAAACCAACAACCACTTGATTTTAACAAGTGTTGTCTGTGTAGCCAAAGCCTGCTGTAGCTTATTTCTCTGTGAAGTAGAATTCCATTGTTTAAAAATGATTAAAAGCCCATAAATAAGCAACATTGTTGCGGTTTATTTTGAGTCAATCCCACGTACACGGTCCTGCAGCTGAAAAGCACCAGCCTCATCCTTTTAAAGGCAAACTGGCTTTCGTGTCATTATGTGTACCTCTTGTCTCAATATGCTGTATGTCTATGATTTGTTCTTGTTTTGTAAAGCACAGTAACTTCTTTTTTTAGAGGGGCTATAAAAAAAAATATGCCATCCCGGGAACCCACTGTGAGATTAAATGTATTCTAATGTTTTGGCATGTAAGGAACTGGATTGATAGTTTTGAATATATTCTAATATCTAATAATCAACGTTTTCCAGTGACTAAAATAATCAGCAGCCGACCGTGGACAATAGAGGCTAAAGTGAAACCCAGCACAGCCTCAAAAAGGAAGGTCTCCACCACCACCACAGCTCCACAAAAGGAGACAACCAGAGAGGTCACTGAGTGGACGACGACTTCACAGCCTGAAGCGATGGCAGTGTCTCTGACCGGTAAGGTGGAGGAGTTCGAGTGGCTGTTCGGAGGCGAAGGAGTGGCGTGGGTTGAGGTGGACGGTGAAGAGAAGCAGGTGACGGGCTCTGCTGTTGTGGAGATGGAGGTCACAGAACCTCACACAATATATGAAGAAATCTTTTCGATTTGATGAATAAAGCTGTTTGTACATTGAGAAATTCAGTCCTGATGGCTCATTACATGATTGCCTTTATTTGTCACTTGCAACATTAAACCCTACATCAATCCTTTCTTTTAAAGGAATAGTTCATTTTGAGGAATAAGCTTATTCACTTTCTTGCTGAGGGTTAGATGAGAAGATTGACATCACTTTTATATCTGTTCGTTCAATATTTAGCTGCAGCCGCTTATTTTGGCATACTTATTTTTTGGGCATTTTCTGCCATTTATTTGGTTGAGATAGTGGAGAGAGAGACAGGAAATGTAGGGAATCTGATCAGGGAATATCTGCTCTGGGCATTTGCGTCCTAACCACTTGGCTATCTGGTCTAACCCAGAGCTTAGCTTAATTAAATATCTCGTATGGATTAAGCAAACATTACATGATGTTTAAATTAGTGAGCTTTAGAAGTTACTTTGGACATAGTCGGGCTATGTCTCTATTCTTTGTGTTAAGCTAAACTAACCTGCTGCTGGCTGTAGCATAATATTTAACAGATTTTATTCTTTAAACAAAGCATTTTGTCAGTTAACAAAAAGCCAAGTTTCTTTACCGAATCTGTAAATGATAAAACTCACAGGAGCCAATTTTCAGATACAAGCATCGTTTATTAGCTTTACATCGTGAGTAAATGTTATATTGCTACATAACCATCATTCTATACAATTTTTCTTTTACAAATGTCAGGTCTTTGAATGTGATATCTGTAGTTTCGACGAAAAGTGTCAAATAACAGTTTCAAAACCGTTGGCTACTCGCACAGTAAAGGCAATGGCTTTACAACGGGTACAAAACAAACAAGGTACTTACAAAATAAACTTGGTTTCATAACATCTGAATAACCGTTAATCAGTATATTTATAAAAATCTTGGGAGGCGTACAATACCGATCCCTTGCATTCCTCGCAGTTATTTAACCCCTCGAGTTTTATCCGTTTTTAAGAAGGAATATGACTAAAACAAAAACAACGCCCTTATAAAATCAGACCCCTGGCGTCATACATCCATTTCAGACCGGGTTCAGCTCGGGTGCATCCTGAATGGAGTAAATGTGTTTTCCACTACATTTGGGTTCCTCTCTCGCGTTATCCCGTTCCGGTGTGAAAGGCGTCGTCCTCAGTAGTACGAGCTCAGGTGGGAGTGGGTGGTGGGATGCCTGGTCATGGCTGACCCAGGATAGATTGGGCTGTTGGGTGAGTTCCAGTACGTCGACGGCGGGCTGAAGAAGTTGCCGGGGGAGACTGGCATAGGTGCAGGATGGCCACCCATGAAGTTCATTTTGGGCTGGTGGCTGTGGTAGGGCTGCACGTAAGACATCTCAGTCTGGTACTTAACAATCCCCCCTTCTGCTGAGTGATTCTGGTGTGCCTGCGAGATGCCTTGGAAGTCAAACTTGTAGGCGTAGCGCTTTCCGTGCACCTTGGTCATGATGTTCTTGTCATAGTAGTAGCGCAGAGCGCGGCTCAGCTTGTCGTAGTTCATGTTGGGCTTGCTCTTGCGCTCGCCCCAGCGCTTGGCCACCTCGTCCGGGTCGGTCATCTTGAACTCGCCGTTGGTGCCCTCCCAGGTGATGATGCCGGCGTTGTTGCTGTCGGACAGCAGCTCCAGCAGGAACTGCCACAGCTGGATCTGCCCCGAACCTGGGAGGGGAAAAGGAAGAGTTAAGGAATCTGTTACCGACTTCATTGGTTGGTCACACAAAGAAAGACAGGAAATGTACACATAGTAGCTGTGAGAAATGTTTCTAAGCATCTTAATTATTTTAAAATATATTGGAACAGTTTGGATGACTTGATCATCTGTGTGTAGATACCAGTCAACCTTTTAAAGTTAGCAGTAGAGTTTTGAATAAAAGAGACCAAAACAGTAAGATTTCAGTTCAATTTGATGTGTCCAGTTATTCCAGGACCTTGGACAGCGCCTCAGTTTTTCTTTTCAAAAAGTTCTTAGGAGTTTTAATGTGGGCGGGTCTCTGTCCTAGTAATATTTCGACTTTTTTTTTTTTTTTTCCACCAAATGTGACCTTTTCACTGTGTGGCTTGGAGGAAGTGACAGACATCGTGGCAGAAACCTACCCACAGGCCTGTGAGCGCTGGGGTCAGGGAGCTTGTATGGACTTTGTTTGGCTGTTCGGTTCTTGGATGAGCTGAGGGCTTGGCCTTCTGTGAGGAAACAGCAGGGCAAACAGTCATTTTGATGAGAGGGAAGCCAGATTTCGTCTCAGTGTAAGCGTGACGCAATTCTGCTGACACAACAGGTGTTGCTTGATGTTTACTCCATTTTGGAAATTAAGTGCATGTGTGCCAGCGCTTGCTTTCTTTTTCTGTCATGTTACCAAAGCAGACAGTGTAAAGGCCTCATTTGTGTGATCCTTGTTGGTTTGTCTTGTGGTACTTAGATTCTTACCTGGGTTGGCAAGTCGACTGCTTATGGGCCCTAATGTCTGATACGGGTCTGCAAAGAAAAAAAGGCATATCAAAACATTTTTTACACCTTTCTTACTTTATTCTACTTTTTAACCTTAATGTTCATAAATCCTCCTACATTTCATGTCAAGTTCCTTCAGGATTAGAAAGAACATCTTTCCATGTTGACATCACATGCATCACAATTCTGGTCCTGTTGTGCCAGTACTTAAAGTAAGCGCTCATTTTAATGAAGTGAAATATTCAAATCACAGCCCACGTCCGCGATTTGTTCAGTGATTCAATCAGGTCGGCTGTTGTGCTCAGAAATATTAACTCCGACCCTCTAAAATGTATTTGTCATGAAAAACAAATGACCTGCTGCTAGCAGTTGCTACTGCAGCTTCGACGTTGACTAATAATGACGTGGTGCAGAACAGATTCATCCCGCTCTACTGGTGGGTTAGGTCAAAATGAAATACTAGCGGCATGGTTCTCGGGATGGCAATGTCAGTTTGTCGGTCAACGACTTTCATCCCCACAATTTTTGGATGGATTGTAACAACGGGGATCCCTTAACTTTTCATCTTACATCATCATTTGGTGTATAATTAAATCCTAATGACCTTCCTATAAGCCTCAGAGCAGCTGGCATGGCTTTACACTCTCAAGTCTTGTTTACACATCTCCTATAACTGAAAAATTATTGGGATCGTTTCGTATAAAGCTCCTGAGCTTTGAGCAATCCTTTCCAGCACAATGTGAGTTTGCAGGAATTGGCCTGCTGTGAAGGTCCATGTGTTATGAAAATACTTGGTACAAGGCCTTCATACCTTGGACAATTCTTGCAGCAGGCTCTGTAACTCTTGAGCTGTGTTGGTGCTCCATGGAGGGACCTACAAATCAAAATGAAGTTACTTATGTGTAATGGTTTAGTCCTCAGCTGTGGCCTAGTTTAGGATTTACAATTTCTACGTAAGACCATTTGGTTGTTCATGCATGAAAAATGTGTCCTGATTAATTTCATGTCATCCTTGTTTTTGTTGTTGTCCTACCTTTTGGCACTGCACTCATGGTGTTTGCCGCCCAGCTGTTCCTGCAGCTGATCTCCTCAAAACCGCTCTCTGCACACAAAAAATACAAGGATGAGACTAGACTTTGCCCTGCACGTGGCATGAAAAGGCTTTGAAGTGGACAGTAGGCTGGTTCAGCTGTAGTAGGAAGGAAGTCAGTAAATGGAGACCAAGACGCTAAGAGTTTGGAGGTCTGAATGAATTTGATGACCCAAAAAGTTTCTTTTGTCCGGGCCACCCCTGTTGCCACAAGATTGTGAATTGTGTCCCAGGAGCAGGACCCATACCCCCCATTTCCTGCGCCGGTGCAGCTGTTTCCTGTCTGAAACTGCCTGTTGAGTTTTAAACTCATCAGTGTTTTGTCAACTGAGGCCAGTGTTGGGCCAAAGATTCTTTTTGACTCTTGAAACTATGCAACACGGTTCTGAAACTCAACACATTATTTTTATATCCCTAAATCATTCAAGATGTTTGCTCTTATTTTGTGTTTGGCTTGAGAATATGTCCCGGAATTCTGAGCTTTGACTCACACCCAGACACACTCAGACAGATATTGACTGTATGACTAATGGGTGGTGGCAGAAGGGAAATGGTGGCAATGAGAATTGAAAAACTGAAAAAAATGTATTTTTATCATTCGTTTAAAACCTGATGAGTCTTTAAGTCTTAAAGTCTTTAAGTCATAATGCAATGAATAGTGACTTATTCACTTTTTTTGGACACTTACTATGTATCATGATGAGCTGTAGAGAAAATACTTGGATTCTTTACTGAAGTAAAAGTACCAATTCAACGATGTAAAAGTATTGCATTCAAGCTTCATTCATGCTTAAAAGTATCATCAGCTAAAAGTACACTTGATGCAGGCAAATGGCCCGTGTGCCTGATATATTCATATGATGATATAAGATTGTTCATACAGATTAATCAATGTGTAAGTGTCATTTTACTATTGTAGCCAGTTCAGAAGGAGCTGGTTTTTACAACTTTATATACATTTAAAGGGTGTAGTCCAGTGAACTATAACCATATTTTTTTTGGGACTTTTCTCAAATATTTGCTTTTTATGATAATTTGTGAATGATTTGACCTCTTTGGGCCTCAAACTATGATTTAAATGAAACAATTTAGAAGTTTTGAGGAAAATGGTCTCTTTCGCTTGCTCACAACTTAAAGACGTCAGCAACAAGACAAGGGGTCCCAACTACACTGGTTTTTTTTTGTTTTTTGTTTTTAAATAAGGAGAAACGAGGCCAAAATGGTGGGAACCACTGGTTTTTAAGTACTTAAAATTTGTACTTGGTTGTGGTACTTGAGAGAATGTACTTAATTACTGGTAATATTTACTGTCCACTACTAAATATGACAAAAAAAATAGGAATGTAATTGATGTTTAACTGCATATACTGTATGATAGTCATGACTATGAAGAAACTTAAAAAAAAATATATATATATATTTTTTGAACATTTAAGTTGAACTGTAATTTCTCTTTTTTGAATAAAATTCCATCCACAAACTCAAGGAGCCATGACAAACTCTCAACTCTCCTATATTTCCATTCTCCAATTTTAAGCTATAATAACAATTAATTGAGTAATAATTTAACCTTGAAAAAACTTTAAATCCCCTCATGGCACAACCTGCCCTGCACCAAACAGTAGACAGACACAGTAAGCAAGGTAAGAGCCAGATATTTCCCTCAGGAGTGAGCAGAGACCAAAAACCGAGCTTAAAGAGAGTGAATATTCAGAAGATGTTCAGAAACACGACTCCAAATGAATGATAACGTTGCACCGTAACTGCTGGATCTTTAGATAAGCAATTGTTGTCCCCAGAGGGGCTTTTTAATGGAGAGTCGATGATCTCACCTGCTTTCACCTGTAGTCTGGGTTGTTGTGGTGGAGGTGGTGGTGGTAGTGGTGGTGTGGTGTTGGTAGGAGTTGTGGAGTATGAGAACGTAGGGCTACCTGAAGCAGAAAACGAAAAAAAGTCAAGATTATATATTATTTTTAGATGGATACAACAGACATCAATCATACCGGAGTATAATTTCAGTGTCATAAATGGTATTTTGTACTAAAGAACAGACGGAAAGACTAGAGAGGTGTTGATACGACGCTGTTGAGGACTGTTGGGGTTTTGCTGTAGTACCGGTCAGATGTTGCTGGCATTTTGTCCACCACATTTTGTCCACCAACCTGACTAGAACGTGGTGACTGTCTCCTTTAGCTGCATGTGTTACACTGATTTGCAGAAGCGATAACACTGCAAAATGATGTAATGCGGTAAGTATCAGAAATGATGACAACATATTATATACAGGAAACCTGCACTAGCAAAGAGGAACAGTGGTCACAACACTTAATGAAGACGGCAACAACATGACAAACTTCAGCCTCAAATGGCATCATGTCGTTCCAGCCTCAACAGGACCTCGTAAGTGCCCCTGTCCTTTATTGCAAGTTGTTGCTATTATTTTGTCCACATCCTCTATTGACCACGGTAGCTCAGTGGAATTAGATTTTCATGAATCAAATTTTGAAATAAATTTCAAAACTTCAACAAATTCACATGCAGAAATATTTTAAGGCAATTACTTTATTTCCCTGAGTAATAGATTAATCATGAAGTGTATATAATTTCGGAAAATTGTGAAAATACTCATATGCAACATAAAACAAATGCTTGTTTTGTCCAATAAACTGTCCAAAACATCAATAAAAACCAGTAAATCCTCAGGTTTGAGAAGCTGAACCAGCAAATGTTTGTCATTTTTTGATTAATCGGTTCACTGTTTCAGTCGTTAAACATCAAACAATGTTCTGTCCATTGACTAAACTTGTTATTGTCGAATCATTTCAGCGCGACATATCTTTCTCTGATTTTATTTATGATAATGCGCAGGTAAATATATTTGTCACCACAGAACAATGAAAACCTTTTTACATTGTTGAGATCAGTTGGGAGAACCGAACAATGTTATCAGCTGAAGAGGGAGAGAGAGAGAGAGAGAGAGATATCTCGGACACGAGGCGAGTCTTACTCTGCCGGAGGTAACTGAGGTGAGAGAGCAGGATGTCTGCGTTGTAGGCCGACGTGAGACGCATCATGTCGTCCTTGGTCATCTTGCAAAGGGCCTTGCCGTCCAGTGCCTGGAAGAGCATGACGTCTACTTCCTCCAGGACGTACTCCTTGATGGCCCAGTCCAGCCACTGCCGCACATGGTCCTGTGTCCAAACCTCTGGATCTAGCATCAGAGGCACAACAATGATCAGAAAAAGACTCTGGATACTCTGATATATTTATAACACAGTGTCTCATATTGTTAGAGGACCTTTTTGTTTTTTTTAAAGGTAAACATCTTTTAGCTCTATTCTCACCTTAAATCTCAGTTTATGACGTCACAAATCGTTTATCTGGAGGATGGTTTTTATAGGAGGCCTCCAGCTTAAAGTGCGTGACATATTGTGTCCAGGAGTTGAAGTTTAAATATCTAAAATATTTGCAGTCTGGTTTTGTCAACAAGGAAAACGGAGTAAATGTAAGAGTATTTCAATATATGACTGAAATACTTACAAAAATATCTTTTTATAATATAACACGTGTCTGGGAGGGTCTTTATTAGCTAGTTGTGGCTGGCTGTAATACTTAATACCAAATCCATGCTGCGTTTTGTTGGATGAAAACATGTAAATCATCCTTTACTGTAGCTATCTAGTGTACATTATCTGGCCTTTTACATTGTGAGAGATGTCGTTGGTTTCTTTAATTAAAAAAGAAAAACGGCTGGAGGATGGTGGGAGGAGCGTCACACAGAAATAATCTGAAGAGCCCTCGGGCGATTTGTTTGTAGGACATGAAAGTGCTGAATAACACCGGAAACAACCCAGATGTGAGGACCAGTTGTGATACTTTTCATACTGATGGTGAAGTTGGGTGGGTATACTCATTCTGTGAAAACCAAGCCTGGTTTAGTCAAACTACTTGCCTATAATATTGTATTCCACTTTACTTTTATTGTTTTACACATTTCTATTGTCAAAATTAAGGATTTCAAGCAAACTGCAATTAAAAGCTAACAAAATTAGTTTATTTTTAGACATGTGAAGGGCTTTTATTCATGTAATGCCAAACACTCTAATACAGTTAATTGCATAAAATATTTGGATTACATTTTTTTTATATGCAATGTTGCATGTGTTTGCCCAGTGGATATACATTTAAATATTGGAGAAATATACATATTAATATTGTATTTGAGTTAAAGAAAACATCACTCAGCCTGTGCAATTGTTCTGATGTGTAAGGAGACTCAATATTCTTTCTTGAGGTCTTGTAAAGGGGTTTTTTTATGTGCACACTGATATTTACCGCAGCCATGGAGGTTATGTTTTCGGTTTGGTTGGTCGGTTTGTGAGCAGGATCACAGAAAAACTACTGGCCCTGTATTGGTGTAGCATGGGCTAAAAGAAGAGCCCATTAAGTTTTGAAGCAGATACACAAATCATTTTACACTTTCGTTAACATTGTGAGACGGGTGACTTTGCCTTGGCAGAGGTCTGCTCTCTCCGAGTGCCCTTCTAGTTTGAGAGAGTATGTTTTAAAGTGCTCTTGTTTCATTATTATTGTCTTTAAATGAAGCATTTTTCATCTTGAAATTCTAAAAATGTCGGCAAAGGAACAATTTTCTGTCTTACTACATATAGTTGAATTACATTTCATCGCTATACTGCTGATTTGATATCTTACATTACATTGGATATCCTTTTTACATTTTCAACCCTGTTCTTTTAGATATTTGCAACAACAAAAATCTTTTACTGGAAATGTAATGACACCTGTAAGGACATGTTTTATCAACACAATATGTTTTCGTTACATCCTTACAAGCTCCGCTATTGCAAGACAATATCGACACTAAGGTGTTATGGTGTAAATGGTTATATTAAGGCAGGAATTGGTTGAAAGGTTGGGAAAAATCCTATTGGCAGTATATAAATAATCATACTGAATACTTTTACACATCTACATGTTTTTTTATTACTCTTTATTAGAATAGGAAAATATACTTCTTCACTGATAAATCTAAGGCAATAATAATGTAAAAAATATCTTGATATTTCATTCTTTCCATACTGCCCAGCCCTTGTTGAAATTGATGCCAATGCCTTGTTGCAGCACTAGTCTGATTCAGGAAGGTAAGCTCATTTCCAGTAGCAAACAATGACTGTGAATTGCCCGTAATATTAGGCAGGAGTATTAGTCGTGAACAGAGGCCACCACACCCTCGTGTCCTGATTGTCCTTGGTGAACACATGCCACTGTGATGCAACATCCGTGTATTATGAAGCAGAACAACTGGGTGCTGATGACTCCTCGACGAATCTTGTTTGATTCCACGAAGCTGAGATTTATATCGTCTGAGGTGGGATCCCTCCAGAGAGAGACTGACTCACTGAAACGTGCTGCTTTGAACTGCTTCAGTAATGGGTGTCACAGTATGGGAACTGTGCAAGAGAGAGACCGTAAAATATGTCATCAGGTTGGTTTTCAGATTGTTGGACCAGTGATTCATAGTGAGGATGAAACCCGGACTATGACTATTTGGATAGTTGTGACACATCACTGTCTTTACTCTAAGTTGTATTTCAGTGATTGTCCTCTGCTAAGCCTCTGCCCACAGTTCACCTGTACCAAAGATACTACAAGATATTCTATCTTCTTAAGGATAAGGCAGATGTTATTCTATACTTTTCATATTGTCAACAAACCCCTATGAAAATGCCTCTCTCAATACACTTCCTGTGGCACTCAGCCCTAAGCTCTTAGCCCCGAAATCTTCAAAAATGGGACACAAATTGTTTATAACATCAGTCCTGAGTGCTCATAAGGCTTCCTTTAAATCTGAGCTTGAAACCTTTATCACATGTTCTCTGATTTCATCTGACTCTTGTTATTTAGGGAACGTTTCCAAGTACTGTTATTCTTTTCCTGTGTTTTCATGTTTTGTGAGTTCTTTGTTTACTATGTGAAGCACTTTGTAACTTATGAACACATCTAAACACAAAATGCATAGTTTTGCTTTCGTGTGACTCTTCGTGGAGAAACTCAATTTTACAGATCTGTCGATTAAATCAACTAATCGATAAATTGACAAAGCCGTATGTGTTAGTCGACTTTTAAATTATTCTTATCTATAGTTTCCTGTTTTAAAAAGGCTTGATAACTTCCTAAAGCAGCTGGGCACTGTAGTTTTTGACAGCTACTCAAACAGCAGTAGCAGTAGTATTGCTAGTAGTAGTTTTGATGTGTTTTGGCCTGAGAACAATCAATAATATGATTTCAGATGTAGCTACAGGAAGCAGGATGGTTTTAGAAAATGTCCCCACCTGCATCTATTCCTGCTTGTCTCTCTCGCTCTCTCTCTTGTTAACATCAGTGCTGAGCGCTAAATTCACAGTTTGGACTTCACACTTTTTAAATTGCTTTCATTTTACACCTGATGTCATGCACAAGCAGATAACCGGAAACCTGCTATTGTTTATTTGCGGCACTGGAGAGTAATGATGGTAGTATGTGGAAAAATCCACGCTGTGCTCGTCTCTGATTCACTTATTGATATTGCACAAGCCGAATGTGTTCCAGCTCTTAGGAAACTGTTTTGTGGGAGGAGGGTTAGGGTGATTGAAGGTTAAGTGACACAGCTCACCTGCCGGCACGATGACCCTCTTCTCCTCTGTGGCGCTGGTGGGTGGGGTGGCCGTCTGTGGGCTGACGCGAGGCTCCGGGTACGAGGACTGGTACGGCATCGGGGCCCCGTCGTTGCTCATGTGTCTGGAGCGCTTGGTGACGCTGCAGTCCACAGGGGATTCACGGCTAGAGCAGGCAGCAGGAGAAAAGTGTAATTCCATCGTTAAGATATCTTGTAAAACGTGTAAGAGCTAATCAGTGTTAGTACAATTCAATATATCCAGGTCTAACAAATGCTGTCATCTCAAATATTTACATGTTTAATGTGACTGCTAATCTGGCAGTAGATTTCACAGTTTCAACTGGGTGCAAGTTTATTTCCACTTACACCATTTGCAAGAGCTGACCAGAGATGCATTTAGTCCCATAATGCTTCACAGCAACACGATTCCAGTGAAAAGGCCTATAAAGTGTAGGCGGGTGGTAACCTGGAGCCGGCTAAACAGCTGAATGTTAGTTCAAACTTAGTTTAAAGTGTGTGTATACTAAGTGGAGATTTAAGTATCACTACATTACAATGATTTGCACCACAATAACTATTTTTTACGTACAGATTAGATGTAATATATTTACACCCAGTATCTGCCCGCTGTAACTGGTTTATTCTACCTGAGGGATCACTGAGAGTTGAATTTTTATATCACAGAAAAACTCAGATCCTTTTCTTACATAAAAGTACAAAAGTAAAATGACCTTATTAGATTGCATTAATAGGTATGTAGCATTTTAAGAGGTGGAGCTAGTTTTAAATCTGAGGGTCCGTAACACGATTAATAACAGAGAGAAGAAAAAACAAAGTTCAAACACATTTTCTTTAATTCTTTGGACTTTTGGATTTTTTTTTTGTTGTAAAACATTGAACCATTTGAACTTCAAACAACTCATAAACATCATAAACATAAGGGCCCCAAGTAGACCCTGTTTTCTTGTGAGGGTTCACAGGTCAAACAGGTTGAGAAACACTGGTTTCATCTTTAACAATCTTTTGTGTTTGTTTTCTTAAAGTAAAAACTTGCTCTGAAAACGTACTAGTAATTATAACTGTCACATAAATGTAGTGGAGTTAAAAGCACATTATTTCTCTCTGAAATGTAGTGGAGTATAATAAGTCTAGAGTAGTAGACAATGGAAATACTCAGAGTACAAGTATGTGTAAATGTACCTGGTAACTTTCCACCACTGGCGTTATGTAATCCTTCAGCTATAGTTAAAACACCATATTTGGAATTCAAACATTTCCACTTATGATGGATGGTAATGGAAAGCAAGAAGGGACGCAGGGTTGTATTTGGTAAGAGAACAATAAACAAACATTTTTAGGGTCTGGAAAAACCCCAAAATGTTAACATGGACCGTGACAAATCTACAGTCAAATGGTCCGGGAACCTGTGCTCCCCTGTGGCCCCGGCCTGCCCTGACTCACCTGGTTCCATTGACGTGTTCTCCTCTTTTGCCAGGGTTTTGAGCCGCTGACCCGACCCACTCCGGCTCGGTGGGCTCGGGACTCTGCTTGGAGGCGTGGCTGAACCCGCCGGGCGACGTCATCTCGGCCTTCATGTGCACTGCGTTGTAGGGCGGCTCGAATATGGGCTGGTCCTCGCTCACCACGGACAGCGCTTCCTGTCAAACAGAGACACAGCAGTCAGTGTCTGCCATTAAATGTGCCGGGTCACAGCCTGTGGAAACTGTCTTTTTCCACATACGGACTCTGTTTACTCCACAAGAAACTTCAGTGAATAGAAGTAAACCCTCATTAGCTGTAAGAGTAATAACGGCACAATAGAGTTTTATCTGAAGTTTTGAACTATTACTTTTTTACAGTGTGGATATTACCAGATTTCCCTTTTTAAAGTTCATTAGAATTTGTTTGTACATTTTGTCCCTTTGGAATTTGTTTGTGAATCAACAAATTAGTAACCATAGTTTGCAGAGAATTATATCAAAAGAAGTTACAGGAAATCATATCTGCTTATTATATTATATGCACACACACGTCTTTTTAGCAGTGCTCTTGAATTGAACCCGTGACTTGCTCAGAGGTACTTGAACAGAGTTGGGACCATTTCGCGTTCACTTTTCTCCACTCAAAAGTTGTTGTTTTTTGTCTGTGTAAAGGTTTAAACTGGCAATCTTCTGATCACATGCTTTCTTTTCTAACCTTTTAAACAAAACATTGCCCTGTGATTTGATTAAAACATTAGAGGTATGTTAAATGTAAAGAACCAGAGAGAAAGGTGATTATCAAACCACTCCATACTCAGGAGTGAAATCACAAGTAAACTCTTCAGGCAGTGAGGAGGCTGTCTAATCTTAACATCAGTAACCTTAACCACAGTTTTATTTTGTCGTTAGGATTGGGGTTGCAGGGGGGGGGGGGGGGGGGGGGGGGGGGGGGGGGGTGTTAGCTAAAGGTGGAGTCTAATTGAGATTTAAGTCCGTCTTCCTGTGTTCAGCATCTACAGCGAGGCCTCAAAGCCACCCAAAGATGGCACTTTCATCCCACGCAGTCGTGAGGGCAAATGCCGGACCTGTTGTTCCGTCTGCTACTCACATTAAGACGAGTGCATGTGCGATGCGACCACGGCAGTCTAAGTGGGTGCAAGTGCGTGTTTGTTTAGAGGAGTTGAGCATTGTCTTTGGGCCCTGTACGTCAGTGCCGTGCTTTGTCGGTGGCCTACAGGAAACCTGGCCGCCATGTGCAGAGGAACCTTTTGGCACAGGCCAAGGGAGAGGAAGTGGAGGAGGCGGGGGGGGGGGGGGGGGGG